TGTGATCTAATATGCCATCCTTCCGGTTTCTTCTTTTTTGAATAACAAGCCATAAATATATAAAAATTTATTTCAGCAATTTATTTCCGCCCATTTTATAATAGATGAATTGATAACTGCAGTACTGGCTTTTTTGTACGAATAGTATATATCATTACGAAATTATATTTCTATATATATATATAAATACACTTTATTGTAATGTTATAGAATTTATCAATAGTTCTAACCCGACAGAACCTAAACAAAACCAGAATTTTTTACTGATATACTAAAAACCATGACTTCTCTAATAAATTACTAATTATATCCATTAATTACTCCTTAAATTTAAATATTTGTCGTCTAGTTTTTAATTAATTTAGCTCAATAATGTTTCGTGTACTTAATTGACTTATTTATTTTACTTCTTTTAGGCATACAACAACCTGCAAGTCCTGATAGTACGTCGCCAGTTACTTCCGAAGTTTCGTACACCTACATTGGTTCAAATTGTCAAACATCACCAGCCTTATCTGCTGATTATAAAACCTATAGCCGTTCAGCTGATAGCGATGCATTATCCGTCGGTGATGCAACAATGCACATGCATCCTCACACTGTGACGCATCAAATGCACAAGAGCAGTACCGGCGGTAATAACAGTTGTACAGATAACGCCAGTGGTAGTTCCTCAAATCCTCATGATGATAGTCTTATTGAAGATGGCATCGAAGAAGATATATTAGACGATGAAAACGATGGAGATGGCAGTGGCAATGGGTCTGGCAATTGTGGTGAGACTATGCCTAATAAAAAACGTAAACGTCGAGTACTATTTACTAAAGCGCAAACATATGAACTGGAACGACGTTTTCGGCAACAGCGTTACCTTTCAGCTCCAGAACGAGAACATTTAGCCAGTATAATTCGTCTAACACCTACACAGGTTAAGATTTGGTTCCAGAATCATCGTTACAAGACGAAGCGCGCACAAAATGAAAAAGGCGTTTATGATCATCCCGCCATGCATGGTCATCCGCATCATCCATCTGCATTGCCATCACCGCGTCGCGTTGCCGTTCCTGTTCTAGTGCGAAACGGTAAACCATGTCTAAGTGATGGGACAAAACTACCACAGGACTGTGTTACAGCTTCCATGCAAAATGCCGCAGCACATCACTTAGTCTTGAATGGTGCATATCAACATGCGGCAGCTGCAGCGGCGGCTGGATTGCACGCACATCCGCATCAGCGTGGTTGGTGGGCCTAATGTTGCTGCAACAATATTTCCTAAAGCCTTAAGGCGAGTGTTATAAATAACAGAGCCAGAGCCGACACTTTCGGCTTAAACAAACAAAAATGCTGCTGGTTGGTCATTTTTAAAGTTACTCACTGTAGTGTTTATAAAGCCAAATACATGAAAAATGGTTAAAGTATTTAAAATTTTGAGTAAAAAAAGTATTTATGTGCAAAAATGGTTAAGTCGTGCGACTTTTGATATAAAAGCGCTGTTCCAAAGCGACTCGAATATTGGACAATAATTAAAAAAAAAAATTTATATCGGTGCAATATTTAAAATGTATTTAAATAATAAATAAAAATTTATTCTAAAATATTTTATTTAATTAATAACTAAAAATTAAAAATTTTTAGCTGTTAGCAATAATGAAACTGGAGCACCATTGAATTGTACATAGAGAAATGCATTTGTCTAATAAAGTATATAAAACATTCATTAAAAACTATTATTAAAATTAAATAAATTATTTGTAAATTATTTGTAATTATTTGTATTTGTTTTGTATTTTTTTTTTAATTTGTATATAATAACTACTCAAATTTTAATATATTAAAACAGATATAAATGAAATTTATTATAAATAAAATTAAATTGTATATTATTTCTATTAAAATTGCGTGAAAGGATTTTATTTTTATTTTATAAAATAGAAAATTAGTCGTAAGTTTTCATTTACATAATAAAAGTTTTAAATATTTAGAGCATATATTCAATTTTGAATTTATAGTTGTTAGCACGGTTTTATTATGTATACAAAATATATATCATACTTGTGTAAAATTAATTAATTTACAACTTTTAGTAAATAAAAAATTTTGAAAAATTAAAAAACTAAAAAATTTCAATTTTTTGACTATTTTTATTTAATGATTTATTGTACTCTAATTATTATTATTATTAAATAATAGGCTATGAATGCACTCCCAACCCAACTAAAACAATTCTAAACTATTTATAAATCTCGTAATTGCTGAGGGCTTCATTTTAATTATTGAATTTCGGACTAATAATTATTATACTACATGTATTGATAAATACTCGGCCTAAGTAATAAAAACGCATTTTTCTTAGAAAATTATAATTTATGCTTTAGCTTTACACACCGAAGCCAACTATCTTACAACATTTGGATACCGTTTAAAAAGTACGATTTATCAAGTCCTACAAAAACATACCTTAGTTTCCCATTCTACTTTATCATTTCATGCAAATCTCATTTCCTGGTGCCATCTTTTCAAGTTTGGAGACAAGTAATAATCACTGGGAGCCAAAATACCGTGGGTGAGACAGCAATTCGTACCGCAAAAACTAAATTTTTTTCTTGTATGGTCGTTTTTTTCTTGACTCTCATTTAATTGATCCAATAATATGCAAAAGCAGTCTGGTGTTATTGTTTTTACTTTTTTCAAATAGTCTATGAAAATTATTCCAATTGAGCCAAAACATTTCCCCCCTCTTGTTAAGTTCGTGATCGTTTGGAAGTTCTACATCCGCGCTCTACACATTCTCTGGTTTGTTGTTTTCACTCAGGTGTGAAGTAATAGATCAGTTCTCACTAGACGCTCACAGTCAGTTAGATTGTGCTATCGTTTTTGGTCAATTGTGAGCAAACGCAGTATTCATCTTGCCAAAAGTGTTTTCATACCCAAATATTCATTTAAAATATTCGATAAATATTTATATACCATATATTTGTCATCTATGCTATATCATCTCTGCTATTTTAAATCATTCAACACAATATCGTGAATTTTTTTTTGACGACCTGGATCAAAAACACTCGTACGACACGTTTAAATTCAGTTTACCAATATTTTATTGTTGTTAACGATGGTGCAAGGTTCCCGTTAACAAAACGGTAATTTTTAATTTGATTGAGTATAAATGAAAATTACAAAATATTTGACTTTAAAAATGATAACTTAAATAAACGATCCTCAATATTAAATAATTTAAATGAGTTTCTCGATATCACGTTTTACAATAATTGTATTTTGGTAGAAAGTTATGAAATTCTGAAAGTATCTGAATGCAAAAATGTTCACATAAGTTACATCATTGAAACATATGTAATATTATTAAACATAGTATACAGAGATACAGTCTCCACCTATTTTCAAGAACTAAATTAGAAATTTTGGATTTGCCGTTAATTGAGCATTGTATTGCCTACAATATGTTTTTGAGACCGAAAAATCGCGAAAGACCACCAAAAACAAATACAACAGACCGTCGTATAATTGAAGAGATATATAATAATAATCTAATAATAATAATAATAATAATAATAATAATCATAATAATAAATCTAATAGTTCACAATTTCTTACAGATAACAAAAAATGTTGTCAGATTTTTTACTTTCCTGATGTTCTATTTCTAACCTCTGGTGTAAATATTTTAAGTGAATCATTCTAACCAATCTGTTTGTCGTTCGGTAGCCCTTGCTTTCTGCAAACAATGCCAAGCTATCGGAATGAAACCAATTTCCGAGTTATTATTATTAATCTGAGTCCGAATAGATTTAGATAGAATATCCGAAATAATAAGAGTTTTTAAAACATGTACGCAAATCTCCTTTAAAATAATGTTGTCTGACATTATCCGTTGCTCGTCAGATAATTATTTTTTCTTCATTGAACTATAAATAATTAAATAATTGAAGTTTGAAACATTATTTTACTGTGAAACGAACTTGACCTGAGATATGTACCAAATTTCACTGAGAGTTTAAAAAGCACCTACAATTATCTTCATGTGATATATTTGTCAATTACTGGGCACCTTAAAAATACTCTAGTATTGTAATTTTTTTATTGAATGTAGTATTGTAGACATTACATTATTGAAACAAAGAAAATTTGCAAATAACAATTTTCCGTCGGTATTATAATTTTATATTATTAGTATGATTTTTTTATAACTAAATATTTTTATATGAAACTTTGGAGTTATTATTATTACATTAAGGAATTTTGCACTACAGTCCATCTTAATGATTTGTAAATTCAATTTTAATACAAAATTTAATACGATTTATGCTAATAATCCCTATCAGATTTTTATTTAATCTGATAGAAAAATTTAACTATCACAAGTCGTGAATTTAAAATCACTATAAATAATTAAATGAAAAGTATATTAATTATATACTCTAACATCGAGAAACTATGTTACTTTTATGTGTGTACCGGCATAGAAAGGCCATGGCAGACTCCCTAGCAAAGAAGGGGGCTGTGGGGTAACAAATAGCATCAGAAATGAATTTTGTGAACGGAGGAAACAAAATCTATTTGAACACTGGTCAAGAAGATTCATAACTCCTGTACACATCAAAGTTGAAGCTATCCTTAACTTTAGTAGAAACGATATTATAATCTACTCTGAACTTCTTACAGGGCACTGTAGACTCAATTACCACTTGAAGAATAAAGTCCTAAATTAACTAGATAAAAGTAAAGCCCACAGCAAATACTAGATTTATAAATAGTCTAGAATTGTTTTCATTGGGCACAACAGATCTTTTACTTCGGGGTGTATTTCTATCCTATTATTTAATAATAAAAATAAATTAATTACAACTTAAAATAAACAATACTTTTATACAATTACAATTAAAAGGTTATTCAAAATTAAAATAAAAAATAAATAAATAAAAATTTTGTGACAGATAATAGCTGTATATTTAAAGCGACTCCATAATTATAATTCGCGTCTTGTTTTATCCCTTGCTCTAGAAAAACTCAAAGTATAGGTTCTGTCCCGAAAATAATAAAATTAAATATTAAAAATACTACAATAAATCGACTGCAGTTTAACAAAACTTGTTATGAGTGTTTAGAATATTACGATATACTGTACTATTCTTGAAACTCAATTTATTTTTTCAATAACTTTTTTCCGTTGGGCTATTGAACAATAGTACAACTGTAGTACTATATAGTTTCATATTCGAGTATTTTTCAAGTACCTACGGCGCTAATAGCAAATAATAAGAGACAATTTCCGAAATAATGAAAATCAATCTCAAGTTGATTTTTCGAGTATCCCATAAAAAACAAGTGCTATTCTAATAAACAGCAAATTAAATTACTCATCATTTCAAACACTTCAATTTCAATACAGAATCAAATAAAAAAATACACGGGACCATAAATGCTTTAACTACTGAAGCACCATAAACTGTTAACGATTTCTATAGCTTTAAAAAAAAAATAAATTTGTTTTTGTTTTATTATTTTATTACAAATACGTAGATAGCTAATATCTATAACAAAAAATTGAATTAAGGAAAAAAATTTGTACTAAATACGCTGAGCATGCATAATCGAGTAATACACACTCTAAAAGAGTCCACTTGAGTGGCTTTCCATTAGAACACGCTGTAACGACAAGTGTATCGGAACGATCGAAAGAACTAAAGAACGATCGAACAAACGAATGATCAAAGAAACGAACGAGCGAACGAACGCATAAACAATTGAACTCGTTACGTATGAATTTTACTCAATGTTTAGAAAACATCACCGGGTTTCAATATTAGAACAATTTTATCGCGAAAATACATCGCAGCTAAAGAAAAACTATGGTTTAATGTTATTGAAGGGAAGGTAAGCAAATCAATTGTGATAAGTTATATGCAACACATACGTATTTTACCATATATTTGATCAGTCAGCAAACTTATCGGATAAGAAAAATATAAATAATACAAAAACATATATAGCATTGTATTTTGTTAATGTGTGTATGGATGTAAGTCTATAGAGTTTTACTGTTACCAGTAACTACTTGTATTCGTTAGAATTTTACGTTTATTTAACGTTATCTTGTATTTTGATTCAAATGCAGATAATATAAAAAATATGTCGTATTTGCTTATCTTCTACACGCTATACACAAAGATTTCTTGGTATTTTTTTTAAATAATACTGTATTAAAATCAGTACATTAATTTATATAATACCTAACATATAATGCCTATTAATTTATACCTATAAAATATCTATATGTAAAAAGCAAATTTATTTTAAAAACTATAGAGGAAGAATTCAAGTAAAATATATAGAGGAGCAACATAAAAAAAATTTAAAAACCTTTATGATTTCTTTAAGAATGAACACATATCCCCATTAGTGCAGTGTGTTTCAACATTTATCCTGATATGCTTCACCTAGCAAAACAGAATTTTGAAACTTTTTAACCTATTACTTTTAACCCATAACTTTTTTCTTTTTTATTTTGACTCCTTTGATGTATTTAGGAAGCGATTAACATAAATAATTGTTACTAATATTATTACAAAAAAAACCTCGAAGTAATTACGATTTTTCTGACTTCTAAATATGTATACATATTTCTATATTTGTCTATTTAAAATAGCCACTAATTTGAAATTT